AGGGTGATGGGAAGGAGCCTCCCCACAGGCTCCACGGTGGGCTCAGAGCTGGGCTGCAGCCGGCCTGACATTCTGTCTCCCTCTCCCTCTGACCCTCCACCCTCTAAAAAAATGAACCATTTGTAAGATAATAGGATTAATGTCGTAAGAGTCACATATTGGGTAGCAAGGGAGCACCAAATGATTTTACTTTCATTATCTTGTTCCACCCAACATCCTTCCAGACTGGTCCTTATGAATACATATATAAAGTGACCTTGTTGTACTATCAGAAAAGGGCCAAAGGCCTATCAAGGCCAAAGAAATGGACCTATATGCATTAAGACCCTAGACTAGGGAACAAAGAACCCAAAGTTCACCCAGCTGTAACTCAAGGAGAGGTCAGGCCTCGGAAGCTAGAACTCCATGACTTAAGTTCCAGCTCCTAACAATATAGGGCATTTGATTATCCCAATGTCATGAAGATAGCCCCGTTTTCTTTCTTTTTCTTTAGACATTTATTTATTCATGATAGAGAGAAACGGGCAGAGACATAGGCAGAGGGAAAAGGAGGCTCCATGTAGGGAGCCTGACACAGTATTTGATCCCGGGTCTCCAGGATCACATCCTGGGCCAAAGGCAAGTGCTAAACCACTGAGCCACCCGGGGAACCCCAATGTCCCCCTGTTTTCTTTCAGAAGGTCTATCGTTGTAGTTTTGATGTTTATGTCTATGATCCATGTAAAATACATTTTTATGTTTCGTGACAGGTAAGGGTAGAGATTTACTTGATTAGTGCCAAATTGTGCAGACTCACAGAAACGCCAGTAATCTGGCTGGAACGTCTAATGCTACAGATGATGACACTAAGGCCTGAAAGAGAACAGAATGTGCCTATAGTCCTACAGCAAATCTTGGGATAGAGCAGAAAGAACCCAAATAATTCAGCTATAAGTCCAGTGTTCTTTATTTCATGAACACAGACCTTTAGAATGAAGTACAATATCCAGAAACAGACAAGTATGCAGGCAGATTTATTAAATGACAAAGGCGGTAGCTCAAATCACTGAGACAAAGATGGACTGCTTTTTAATGGTGTTGTGACAGCTAGGTAGCTATTTAGGAAAAACTTAAATTAGATTGATATCACAAACCATATACATGAATAAATTCCAGATGGATTACCAAAATCAAAGTTTAAAGCTCTAAATCATATAAGTACCAAAAGGAAATACAAGGTGATTCCACCTTTACCTTTGGTGTAAGACATTCTATGGCTCATCGAGGGACAAAAAAAGAAAAGGCCAATATACTTGCCCATTTATTTAAAAAAAAAAAACCAACAACATAACTCCTGCAAAAATGATACCAGAGCAAATTCAAATTGTAACTAAGAAACTGGGGGGAAAATTTAGCATGATTATGTCACAGAGATCAAGTCATACTGAAAAATGGGCAAAAAAAATTAACGAAAATGTAAAAGTTTCCTTTTAACATAAAACATATTCAATCTCGCAAACACTAACAAAATTCAAAATAAAACTACTCTGAGTTGGGGGCACCTGGATGCCTCAGTGGTTGAGCGTCTGCCCTTGGCTCAGGGCGTGATCCTGGGGTCCTGGGATCGAGTCCCACATCGGGCTTCCCACAGGGGGTCTGCTTCTCCCTCTGCCTATGTCTCTGCCCCTCTCTCTCTCTCCGTGTGTCTCTCATGAATACATAAATAAAATCTAAAGAAATAAATAAATAGACTACTCTGAGGGGAAATCCATAAGAAGAATGAAGACCAACGTGAGAGCTGGGGAATGGGAGTGAGTTAGGGAAAGGACCACAGAGAGAGCGTAGAGCAGAGGGGGATAACGTTGGAGCAAGGGGCAGGCAAAAACAATTAAGGACCAGAGAAGGGAAGAAGAGCAACGTAATTCAAAAAGAGGGTGAGGCCAAAGGCCATTGAGCAGGCTCGGAGTCTGGGGCATGGGTTTATAGAGGCAGAAAGAAGAAAGGGGAACAGAAAATTGGAGGAGGGGCACACTCCTCTCCACTGTGAACACACTCAGACACCTGCTCACGGAGGGAAACACGGCTGGGGGTAGAGGACATGCAACAGGAATGGGGAAGTAAAGTGGGAAGGGATGGAGAACAGGAGAGGGAAGCAGCTGGATGAGAAAGGGCAGAAGTGCAGACCCAGGGACACCAGGCTGGGGAGGACATTGCATGAGAGAGGAAAGTGGCAAGAGCTAGAGGGCCAGGGATCAGCGAGGAGTTGTTCCAGGACTGGGGCGATGGGAGAGCTTGCAGGAGTCGTGAGAGTGGAGGGACAAGAGGACTGAGGAGAGGACTAGACTGGTGTAATGGTCCTGGGGGGGGGGCAGTGAGGAAGGTGGGTGGGGCTAGAAAGAGGGGTGTTTGTAGAGGACCTGATAAAAGAGAGGGTTTGGAGGACCAGAAGGGGCAGGACTAGGGAACCTGGGACAGGAAGAAGCTGGAGGACTGGAGTGGGGTGGGGTACAGGACTGGGGAAAGGGAGGGTGCTGGAGGGCTGGGAAGATGATGGATGCAGGAGGAGAAACTAGGCTGGGTGGTAGGACCAAGGAGGTGGAGGGGCCGAGGACTGGAACGGAGCTTCCATACAGTAGTAACAAAACCTTAGAATATGACATTAAATAGTACCATTATATTGGAACTAAAAACATAAAACACTTCGTAGTTGGATAATGAAATATGCTAGTTACCATTAAAAACTCCAATAGAAAGAATTTAAAGAATGCCTGAATAAATAAAAGGAGACTTACGCCAGATTCATGATTCAGAAGTTAACATTTCTGTATGTCCATTTGCCCCGAATTTGACTCTAGATTCAGCGTACTCCCAATCAGCATTCTCGGATGCCTTTTTAAAAACCTGATCAGCTGATTGTAATATTTTCACGGGATTTTCAAAGAGAACCTAAATTCCTCACACAAACTTGGAAACGATGAATGAACACGGAAGACTAATACTACCCGACTTTGTGACCTACAGAAAACTGTTGGACTCAAGACAGTGTGTTGTTGGTCTAAGGACAGAGGTATGACTCAATGGAACAAAACAAACTAAAAAATAGAGCCCTAAATTTGTTGTCAATTGATTTTTGAGAAATCTACCAAGGCAACCCAAGGGGAAAAGAATTTGCTTTTCACAAATGTTGCAGGAACAGCTGCATAGGTATATGGAAAAGTAAATCTCTACCCTTACCCGTCACCAAACATAAAAATGTATTTTACATGGATCATAGACATAAACATAAAAACTACAATGATAGACCTTCTCAAAGAAAACAGGGATATCTTCATGACATTGGGATAATCAATTATGTCTAATGACACAAAAGGCTCTAATCATAAAAGAAAAACTTCATAAAGTAGATTTCAAAATTAGAAGACGCCTGTTCACCAAATGAGGCCATTAAGAATGGGCAAGCCACAGACTGGGACCGATTATCCGTAGAATATATATCTGACACAGAATCAATATTCAGGATATATAAATGACTACAAATAATCAAAAACAAAGCAGATATTAAAATAAACAAAATAGTTGGACATTTCACCAAAAAAGACTGGAATGACCAGTAATCATGTGAAAAGTTGCTTACTCATCAGACAAATGTCAATTAAACCACAACATTATGTTACTACAAGCCCAATAAAATAGGCAAGATTTAAAACATTGACAGTAGTGATTGTTGGCTGGGATTTGGAGCATCTGGAGTTCTCATACAGTGCCAGTAGGATAAAGTGCAACAGTTGTTTTCGGAAGATTTGGGGGAATCTTAATTTTAGACAAACACCTACTCTGTGACACAGCCATGCTACTCCTAGGTATTGGCCTAAGAGATATATCCACATTTCTCCACAAAAAGGTTTGTACAAGCATGCTGATAGAAGTTGTATGTATACCTAAATTTAAAATCTAGTTTAGGGGCCACCTGGGTGGCTCAGCGGTTAAGTGTCTGCCTTCGGCTCAGGACATGATCCTGGAGTCCTGGGATCAAGTCCCACGCTGGGCTCCCTGCATGGGGCCTGCTTCTCCCTCTGCCTGGGTCTCTGCCTCTCTCTCTCTCTCTCTCTCTCTCTCTCTCTCTCTGTCTCTCATGAATAAATAAATAAAATCTTCAAAAAATAAAATAAAATCTGGTTTGAAAATAATGAGTAAAAAGAAATCCATCTTCAGATAAACAAAAGCTGAGTTTATCACATGAATGACTATACTAATGAAACTTCTAAAAGATCTGCTTCAGGAAGAGGGAAATGATTCCAGGGCAAGGAGGTATGTTGAACAAAGAATTTGTAAACACATGGTTAAATCGAAGTAAAAACTGTTTCCCTAAATATTAATCCTTTTTTAAAAAAATTTTTATTTATTATTTATGATAGTCACATAGAGAGAGAGAGAGAGACACAGGCAGAGGGAGAAGCAGGCTCCATGCACCGGGAGCCCGACGTGGGATTCGATCCCAGTCTCCAGGATCACGCCCTGGGCCAAAGGCAGGCGCCAAACCGCGCGCCACCCAGAGATCCCTTAATCCTTTTTTTTAAGTGAGCTCTATGCGGAGTGTGGGGCTTGAACTCGACCCCGAGATCAAGAATTCCATGCTCTACTGACTGAGCCAGCCAGTCTAGTACTTTTAATCTAGGGGGCTAACAGAATAGGGCAGGGCTAAAATGTGGGACCACCGAAGTATGTAAGTTGGGAGGGAATGCCCTTGTAGTGTAAAAACGTCCTAAGGCCCTTGTGTTATTTGGGGAGGGAGGTTAAGATATTAACTTTAGGGTTTTTTTAATTTTTTTTTTATTGGAGTTCAATTTGCCAACATATTTAACTTTAGTTTTTGATGATTTTGCAGGGTACCATTTCCAGGAGAACTATTAAAACAAGAGAGGTAGAGTGTGTCACCTCCAAAACAGTGAATTGAAGAATCTTAAAAGCATTGAATGTTCAAACAACTGTTTTTTACTTGGAAGATGTGGATGAGTTCAGGCTGTAGAGAGATCATCACCTTTGTTCATCTCTGAATTGGAACCTTTTTGCTTCGGTACTTTTACATGGATTGTGACTGCACAAAAGAAAGAGAGGTATGTAAATATTTTATCATTTCTACATATTTTTCTTTGTGATTATAAAATAGATCACAAATACTTTTACATAAAAGTCTGGTCAGTCTTATGATCTAATACCCAAAGCTTTGTCAGGCCTCTTAAAACAAGCATTCAGGAACCCGGGGACCCGATACACCACCTAAAGACTGAAGGAAGAAACCTCATAAAGATTTCTAGAAAACAACACTCTGAAGCAATGACACGGTCCCCCCTATGCTTCACCTACACTCTTCCACGTTTCCATTGCCTACATCCACTTCTCTACCCATGCCGTTTCCTCTGCCGATGATGCAAAACTTCTATTATCTGTACATCTACTAGTTGAAATCCTCCCTAGTATGTGATATTCATTACCCTGGAACCTTCCATCCCGGGTCAATCATGCTCTCCTTTGATCTCTAATGGGGTTTTTTGTGCTTTCCTATCTATTTATATGTTTATCTGGCTACCTCTTTCTAAATCTTAGGATTCAACTTAGGTATCACTTTTCTGGGAAGTTGTTCCTGCGATCTGCAGGCTGTTATCCATCTCTCCAGCACTGATGAGTTAGGTTCGTTGCATGAATCACTAAAACTGAGTAGGTATCAGAACCCAGTTGACGTTTAACGATACAAGTGTGGAGAGCACCAGGTCTGCACAGTTCTGTGTCTTTTCATAATGCTGAAAACGTCAGAATTAGTTTTTCTCCTATAAGAGACCACCAGTACACAAAAGATATATATATTGTAAGACTGCTCTAACACCAGTCCTGCCTCCAGTGATTGTACATCTCTGCCAAGGGGCTAGGCAACAGCAGTTCAAACATACGTTATATCTTTTGGATGGAGCAGGACTGCTGATCCTTAAAACTGGTTGCGAACGAATCCGGGGTTGAGATCCTATCAGGAAAGAAGCTCCCGTTGGAGTCTGAACATGTGAATTCAAAACGAAAAGAAATCAAAAAGTGAAAACTTAATCACTATTTAATCGTTCTAATACAATAGTACCAAGAGGACACGTAGCCCTCTGTAATAGATATCACATTTAATGAACGTCAACTAAAAGGAATGCTAAATGCTAGAGAGAGAAATAGATGTGTGAAGGAGCTGCTGGTGACAAAGTATGAAGGAAAAGACCTAAGGAGAGTTCTTGAAAAGGAGTGATGAAGTCACTGCCAATAAGGCCTACAAGGGACTCTTTATGACAAAAAGAACTACATCTCAAGGCCAACAATCCTCGTGGGAAAGAGAAAGGAAGTGTGTAGGTAGACATGGAACATGTTAAATGTACAATGTGGATATTTATCTTTGATTAAATATTTTAGTTCATGAATATGATTTCATATGATGATTTAAAGGTTAAATGTGAAGGATGCATAGAAATTTTCCTGGTGAAAGGAATGGCAGGGCAGGCACACCATCAATTCTTGCTTTACCATCTCTCTGGTTTGTATTATCTTTCCAGTGACCTGATAAGCTCAGGGTTTTTTCCAGCTTTATTGAGGTATAAATTGACAAATAAAGCTGTATGCATTTAAAGTGTAGAACAGGGATCCCTGGGTGGCTCTGCAGTTTAGCGCCTGCCTTCGGCCCAGGGCGTGATCCTGGAGTCCTGGGATTGAGTCCCACATCGGGCTCCCTGCATGGAGCCTGCTTCTCCCTCTGCCTGTGTCTCTGCCCCCCTCTCTGTGTCTCTCATGAATAAATAAATAAAATCTTTAAAAAATAAAAATAAGTAAAATCTTTAATAAAAAAATAAAGTGCACAACATTATGATTTGGCATTTATATACAGATGTTAAAATAGGTTCAAAAGATGAAAGGACATTTCATGAAAGATAAATATAAGGAGGTTGCACAGCTTATTAAGAGAAGACTCTTACCATTTCCTTCCCTGTTTAAATCTCTGAAATGGATTGTCACTGAGTGTAGACAGTGTGAAACTCCTTGGCGTGACTTTCCAAGCCTACTGGTTTTCTATCTGTGTCTATTGCACTTTTTCCTCACAAGATGAGGCACTACGGGCTACAGTTACAGACAACTGGGTAAATCAGAAACTGTTGAAAAGACTCATATCTAAAGACTAATAATTAATGCGTTGACCTGCTCAGAGGTTTCTGGTGATATGCTGCAGGATTGTGTCCTGGGTCATCCAGATTATCTTTATCTAAGTCATCAATGAAAATGTTGAACACATGCGCCTTGAGCATGTGAATAGCATTATATTCAAAGGGATAAAAAGTATATTAAATAGACTTAGAAACATTAATGTTCTTGCCAGGCTAGAGATAGGCTCCCAAATGAATAGATGAAGTCGATCAGAGAAAATTGGTAAGTTTTGCTCCTGGAGAAGTGAAAAAAGACTGATAGAATTTTGGTTGATAATAAGGTTAAGTCTTATTTTTTTTAAAAAAATGTGGTTTATGTATACAATGGAATATTCCTCAGCCATTAGAAACGACAAATACCCACCATTTGCTTCAACGTGGATGGAACTGGAGGGTATTATGCTGAGTGAAGTAAGTCAATCGGAGAAGGACAAACAGTGTATGTTCTCATTCATTTGGGGAATATGAACAATAGTGAAGGGGAATATAAGGGAAGGAAGAAGAAATGTGTGGGAGATATCAGAAAGGGAGACAGAACATAAAGACTCCTAACTCTGGGAAATGAACTAGGGGTGGTGGAAGGGGAGGAGGGCGGGGGGTGGGGGTGAATGGGTGACGGGCACGGAGGGGGACACTTGACGGGATGAGCACTGGGTGTTATTCTGTATGTTGGTAAATTGAACACCAATAAAAATTAATTTATTTTAAAAAAAAGATTTTATTTATTCATTTGACACAGAGAGAGTGCACAAGCAGGGGGAGGAGCAGGGGGAGAGGGAGACGGAGACTCCCCGCTGAGTGGAGAGCCTGATGTGGGGCTTGATCCCAGGACCCTGGCATCACGACCTGAGCCAGAACCAAGAGTCAGACAGCCAACTGACTAAACCACCCGGGAGCCCCTCTTGCCCTTCTCATTGTCTTAACCCTATGCCAGCAATTTAGAAGCAGCTCCCAGCTCTATCTTCAGGGTACAAGGCTGTCACTTCTGCAGGACTAAACAAAGGGCTTGATAAGACTTACTGCCTTACAGGGGCACCTGGGTGGCTCGGTCACTGAAGCATCTGCCTTCAGCTCGGGTCGTGGTCTCAGGGTCCTGGGATCAAGCCCCATATTGGGCCCCTTGCTCAGTGGGGAGTCTGCTTCTCCCTCTCCCTCTGCCCCTCCCCACCGCTGGTGTGCACTCTCTCGCGCGCTCTCTCTCTCTCTCTCTCAATAAATAATTAAAAAAAAAAGACTTCCTGCCTTACAGACAGTGCTGCCTAGAAATCATCAAAATCGCTCTTGCCCAAGGATTGAGATCTTGGTCCACTTCCACGATGCTATCAGATACAGTAACCTGGAATTATCTCATACAGGGACTAGATGGAGCAACTAATCCTTTTAGGGAATCTAGGTGTGTATTCCCCTGGGTCTGCAGCTTCTCATTCATGCTACTCATACAAAGGAACGACTTTTTATCTGGTTCCTGTAAAACTCCCTAGGAAATGTCCACTTTCATTTGGAAAGAATGTGTGATATAACCTGGCTTTGTTTGTTGTCCTTCAGTTTTTACTCTGCAATTCACACATTTTGCTTCAGTCCCTGTTATATACTAACAATAGGTGTCATCTGCCTACTGATTCCTAAACTGGCATTAGCCTTTGGGACTTGTACCCTGACTGTCTATCCTTTCCTGTAGGATATCTCAGCTCTACCCCCTTCCCTGATATTCCCATTAAGTCTACTTTCTCCAGGCTTGGGGCCATACTTAGTTCAGCATATAGACACACCTAGAATCATATAATATTCTTCTAAATCTCTTTGGGGGATTAACTGGCAAATATAGTTAATTATTATAGAAGTTGCACAGCGAAGTGCAAATGAAGACTGGAAAGAGCTGTGAGGTCAGCAAAGGAAAGCATCAACAAAACAAAAAGACAACTAAATGAATAGGAGAAATATTTGCAAATTACATATCTGATAAGGTGTTAATATCCACACCATACAAAGAACTTATAAAACTCAACACCGAAAAACCCCTCAAACAATCCAATTAAAAAACGAGAAGACTCGAATAGACATTTCTCCAAAGAAGCCATCCAGATGGCCGACAGACACATGAAAAGATGCTCAGCATCGGTTATTACCAGGGAATACAGATCAAAACTACAATGAGATATCACCTGATGCCTGTCAGAATGGCTGAAATAAAAAAACACAAGAAACAATGTGTTGGCGAGGATGTGGAGAAAGGGGGACCCTCTTGCACTGTTGATGGGAACGCAGGCTGGTGCAGCCACTCTGGAGAACAGCGTGGAGGGTCCTCAAGAAGTTCACCATAGAGCTCCCCTACGACCCAGCCATTGCACTACTGAGGATTTACGCCAAGAAAATGAAAATACTAATTCTAACAGACATGCACCCCAGTGTTCACTGCAGCATTATTGACAATAGCCAAGACATGGAAGCAATCCAAGCGTCCACTGACAGACCAGTGGATGAGGAAGACAGCCATCACTCAGCCATGAAAAGGGATGTGACTGTGCCATTTGCCACAACACGAACCGACCCAGAGGATATTATGCTAACAGAAATAAATCAGACAGAGAAAAACAAATACCATATACTTCCACTCCTGTGTGGAATCTAAAACAACAAAACAAATAAACAAAAAGCAGAATCAGACCTGCAAATGCAGAGAACAAATTGACTGTTGCCCAAAAAGAGGGGAGTGGAGAGAGGGGCAGAATGAGTTATAGAATGAGTAAGTTCTGAAAGGAATAAGTCATGAGAACAAAAGGGCTTGATAAGACTTATTGCCTTACAGGGGGGCCTGGGTGGCTCAGTCATATAGACTAGTCCAATCACTATGTCGTACACCTGAAACTAATGTAACACTGCCTGTCAACTACACTCAAATAGAAAAAAAATTAAACCCTAAAACTGAAAAGAAAAGAAAAGAAAAGAAAAGAAAAGAAAAGAAAAGAAAAAAAGAAAAGAGGTACCAGGAAGGGAGGAAAACCAAGAAAGTATGGCATTGCGGAAGGCCATACAGAAATTCATCACAACCATGGTCTCTGGAGAGGTGGAGGGTGACTAGCACTAAGGGTGTGCCAAGATTATTTTGGTCTTATTTGTAAGATTTCATTAAAAACAATCTGAAAAATTATGACAAAATATTGACAGTAATCGTGGGTGTTGAAGCATGGATGGCTATTATTTTCTGTACTTTCCTGTATTTTTAACCTTTTTAAATTTCAAATTGACAGCACTGGGCAGCCCGGGTGGCTCAGAGGTTTAGCGGCGCCTTTGGTCCAAGGTGTGATCCTGGAGACCCGGAATTGGGTCCCGCGTCAGGCTCCCCTCATGGAGCCTGCTTCTCCCTCTGCCTGGGTCTCTCATGAACAAATAAATAAAATCTTAAAAAAAAATTAACAGCATCAACAAAAACATGCATGAATTGGCGGTGAGGCTGTGTAGACTGAATGACTTCACAGTTTCCGTGAACTGGATTACATCACACGAAATTTATGTAATGCACTGAAGCTATAAAAAGGAGAACTGCTGATTGCAAACAGTTTTTAACTAAGTAAAGAATAATTTTAAATCATGAAAACATTGTCAAGTAGGCCGAACAGAAATAACAGACTAAAATGGGTTAGAAAAAGGTTGGATAAAAAGCCTGAAATCAGAAAAATTGCAGATATTCTACTTGTATTAACAATTTCCCATTGCAAGTCTTGAACAATAAGAACAAGTTCAGCTTGTTAAGCTTCACTCCCCCCCTCCACTTAATAAAGAGGGGAAATGATCCCAAATAGCAAAATGGCAAACAAAACAAA